TTTTACTACTCTTTCAAGTAAGAAGAGAAGTGATATTTATTAAGAAACTCCCTGATTCACTTCTTCTATAAAATTTTAAATAGGTATGAATTATCACATTAAATCCCATAATTGTGGCCAGATTATAACTTAAAAGATTTTAAATTATAAGTGATATATTAATGTAAATGATATTTAACTTTCATAACTTGGGGACATACTTATGTATACATTTAAAAGTGGATGAAATCAGGGCCCCTGGGTGGCCCAGCAGGTTAAAGCCTCTGCCTTCGGCTCAGGTCATCTCAGGGTCCTGGGATCGAGCCCTACATGGGGCTCTCTGCTCAGTGGGGAGCCTGCTCCCCCCCACCCCCTCCTGCCTCTCTGCCTACTTCTGATCTCTCTCTGTCAAATAAATAAATAAAATCTTAAAAAAAAAAAGTGGATGAAATGGGTTTAAAAGTGTATTTCAAAGTTGGGATGCCTTTGCTTTGTTTTACTCATAATTTTCTAGGTGGGAGAAGTAGCAGTTATAAATACTGTGGCCAGCGGTGGTAGCGGCGTCCACCCAGCAGTGGCGTGGGTGGGGGAGGCACCTCTGTGGATATCCCTTCTGGTGGCTGATGGATGCCTCTGATTTGCCCTGGAGGCTCCCCCGGCCGGCCCCCTCCTCACCTCCCTGCGTCATTCACCAGAGGGTTGGGGGTGGGGGGGGGGCACCAAGACAGCAGATCAGGTTCATACCAGTCTCTCCCTGCCTTTCATATCTGCCTGCTGTCCGTAAGCACGTCTCTGGCTCTGCCTTTGTAAAAGATCCATATCCAGCCGTTTCCCCACGTCTGCCATCACCCTACAGCTCAGGTGCTGCGTGTCCTCTCAGATGGAGTGTGCGTCGTCCCCTGGATCTGCTCCCAAGCGGCCACAGTGTTTTAGATGACATCACTTCGCTACCCTGCTTGGAATCCTCCAAGGACCTCTTTTTTTAAAAAATTGAGATATGACTCACACACCACCATTCTGAAGTATGCAGTTCTGTGGTTTTTAGACTTTCCACAAGGTTGTGCAACCCTCACACTCACTCCAGCATTTTCATCGCCCCAGACGAAACCCCACAGCTGTTAGCAGTCACTCCCTCAGCTCCCTGGTAGTCACCAGTGTCTCTGTCTCTCGACCATTTGCCTCCAGTGGGCTCTTCGATTAAAGTCCAGATTCCTAGCTCTGGCCTTTGAACAGTGGCTTCCAGACCAGTGGTGTCCACATCACATGGGAGCTTGTTAGAAATGCAGCATCTTGGCCCTCTTCCCTCAGAGACTGAGGATGGAGCCCGGCGTCTGCACCCCAGTTTGAGGAGCAGTGTGACCTGACGCCTCTCTAACCCTTTCCCCTTGCTGCCCCTCCAGATGCACTCTGCCCGCCTCCCGCTCCCTGCCCTGTGCAGAAGCCTGTGGCACCCATGTCCCCTCTCCACATGGCCCCCCCGTTTTGAATTTTGGGCCGTGTACTGTGTTAGCTGTTCAGTAAAGGTAACCTGCGCAGTGGGACTGAGTCCGTAGAGCAGCTGGCCTGTCAGTACCAGATGAAGGGAAAGTGTGGAAGCAGGAGGATGGCTGGCTGGGGCCAGCAGGAGGACCAAGAGGACACTAGCTCTTTGTTCCATCGGAGTGGCTGGTGGCGGCTGTGAGCTCTGCTGCACCTCTGCACACACGGAGGCGGACTCGGGGTGAGAGTAAGTCCGAGGAGAGTCTGTAACATGCAGGACCCGCTTGTCTGCAAACAAGCACCTACCGTGTGCGTGCCATGTGCTGGGCCATGTGGTCCACGGGGCCAAGGATGTGGTGCTAAAGAGACAGACCCCCAGCTTGCGTACTGCGGATATTCTAGAAGGGCCGACAGAGGGTAAAGCCAAGTTAACCCAATACGAAGTGTGGTACCTGAGGGACCATGCCAAGGAGAGCCCAAAGCAGGGAGGTATGCATGTGTGCACGTGCGTGTCCACACATGCGTCGGGATCTAGGCAAGGATAGCGGGGAGACCCTCGCTGGGAAGGCGGTGCAGACCTGCAGGCCTGGGGAGCAGGCAGGCCGGCTGCAGACAGAGCAGGGCAGGTGTACAGGCTTGGCGGGCAGGATGGCTGAGGTGGAGGGGATTAGGAGAGGAGGCCTGGGGAGGCAGTGGTGGCAGGTGTTGGCTCAGGCAGGTCACGAGTCCGCTAAGCCAGACCAGCTCCCCCTCCCTCCCCGGCTCCCTGCCTGACTCGGCCACAAAGCAGAGCAGCCCTCCTTTTCCTCCTGAATTTACTGTCTCCTGAGTTGCGCCGCTCACACACAGCGCTGCTCTCTCCCCCATTTTGTCACCAGACCCCTCTTTCCTATGAAACCCATCCTTTCTCACTGCTGTTGTTCAGGCCCTTGCTCCGACCCAAACGCTGGCTGTAGCATGCCAGCTGTTGTAGGAAGGTCGGCTTTGATGCTGACCGCCAAAGTTGGTGGCAGTGCTGGGAGCACAAGACTCTCAACTTTGAAGATGGGAACTAAGGCTCCGAGAGGTGACGTGGTTTCCCCAAGGAGGTCTAGCTAATAATTAACAGATTAGGAGGCAGAGCCCAGACCTCTTGCCCGGGAGTCCTGAGCAATGTCACACCACCCGCCTACCAGCCACCGGCCCAAGCACATGAGGACGGGCCCTGCAGTCAGCACTGAGCGAGTCCTCACACGTGGGAGGTGGTAATGGGTCAGCTCATGCACCTGCCGTTCATGCAATGCTGTGGGTTTGTGGGGAAAGGTAACCTTAAACAGAACACATCTCTCATCGTTCTTAATCGTAATCATACCTTTAAGTAAACGAAGCTGTTGTTTTCCAGAAAGTAAAAGACCAGATCCCTATTAAAGTTGGGGTTACATAGAGCATTTCCCAATATTTTCCTGCTGTAAGGAACAGCCCAAAGAGTAGAGAATGGATCCGAAGAGCACAATTAACCCTGTCATTTTAGTAGCAAGTCGATTTCTTCATATGTAAAGAGAGAGTTGTGCTGGCTCTGCTCGTCTGGGGTTGATGTGAGTTTCTGAGCTGCCTGTGCAGCCCGCACGGGTCCTAGTACTCCCCTCGCCCCACCACATTCCCCCTGGGGGTCGGGGGTGGGAGTGGGGTACTAGGACCCGTGCGGGCTGCGCGCACTCAGTATCCCTGCAGTTCCACAAACACTTGTCTGTTGTGTACAGCGCAGACACTTCCTGGTTTTGAAGTGTTCAACTTCGCAGACAGTGTCGGGTGGGTGGGGAGCTCAGAGAGCCGCTGTGGAATTCCGGAGTGTCATGAAATGTGCCCTACGATTTGTTGGAGCTGCGGCAGGCTGGAAGTCTGTGAGCATAGGCAATCTTTTTTATGTTTTTCCAGGTGATTTTTGTCAAGGCTTTAGGCTTTCTGTGTGGTTTTAAAGTGCTCCCTTCTTCTCTGGTTGAAGCCTGGAACAATGTGTCTTTATTAATACGGTTTGTCGGGAGGGGAAGGACCGCATAGGATTAGCTTGAAAGCTGCTCAGCTCATCCTGGGAAGCCGTATGGTTTTTTCCCATGTTTTATTTGCTGTTTCACCAGTATCCACTGTGTTAATTTTTCTGGGTTCCCTGCTGCGTGCTCTCATGGGCCAGGTGACTCAGTGCGTTGCATGGGTTCCTGTGAGTTGAGAGCTTTGGCTGGAAAAAGGAAGGACGTGGTGACCTTAAGGAAACGTGGTCGAGGGTGGAGGAGGAGCTGCAAGGTGCCTGGTGCTGAGCCTGCTCACCCTGGGGTGGGGCGGTGTTCTTCCCTGCCGGCTCCGCCTCTCACCTGACCATACTCCTGCGGCACCCGGCCTGACCACTTGGCTGGTGTCCATCACTCACCATAAGCAGGCCCTGCGTTTTTGCAGAGAAGAGCCTCGTGCTGCTTTTTGGAGGTGGGCGAGGAAGGCTGAGCCCCAGGGGGAGGTGTGCTGCTGTGGGTGGGCCCGTGTCCTCCTGAGCCCAGTGCGGGTCCTACTCATTCTGCTCTTTTGTGGCCTTAAACCCCCAGCTTTTCCCAGTGTTGGCGGCCCATTAATCACTGTTATAGAACGTGTGCTGGTCCAGAGTGGACCCGCCAAAGCCTTGGCCTTCTCCTTTCGTGGGAAGAATTATTCTCGCAGGATCAGTGCTCCCAGGGGGATTGCTTTCAGACTGTGTGTGTTTTATCCTGATACACGCAGACCTGCATGGAGGAGGTGCTCGTGGGTTGCCATCTGCGGTTTATTTGCTGGGTCAGTTTCTTCAGCACTGGGAATTCATATTTTCGGGGGATAGTTTATCGGTGTGAAAGTTTGCTTTCTTGACTCAGTGTTTTTAAGAGCCAACGTCTGTGTTTACTAGGAGAAAGGTAGCTAGTGGGTTGGAGATGGAGATCTTCTGCTGGCTGCTTTATATTCTCTGCGAGGCTGGGTGAGTGTTAGCCTGACAGCCCGTTGCTCAGTCAACACCTTGTTGATGAAGACTTAGACTGTAATGTAGGTATTTGATTAAAACATTTTAGCCTTATAAGTACGATTTTTTCAGTAGTTGGTTGAATTGCGTGGTATGAATGCTAGATTTCCCTCCAGGCTGTGTGTCCTGTTTCCCAGATCCACCGTCAGAGCAGCACGCTCTTAGGTCTCCTGCCAAAGAGGCTGTGTGGACAGAAGGGTGCCCGCAGCTACCCTGAATCTCCCAGTGTTGGTAGGAGGGTCTGTTTCGAGCATGGGTCTGGCACCTATGAGGAACCATGTAAGTATTTGGCAGACGAATAACAAATATAGCTTCAGAGCCCGACTTTGTTGGGTCTTTTGTGTGAACTTGTTTGCCTGAACCCCAAGGATCCTGGAGGCTCTGTGGGCACTGCTCGCTGAGGGGCCGGACTGCTGTGCCGTTCTGCACGGGGGCTAGGGAAGGGGATCCAAGGGGACTGAAGAGTGAAAGGCACAGTGTGGACACTGACAGCAGCTGTTTCTCTCTCTCTGTCTCTCTCTGTTGGCAGATGTTTCTCACCGTGTACCTCAGTGACAGCGAGCAGCACTTCACCGAGGTCCCCGTGACCCCCGAGACGATGTGCAGAGATGTGGTGGATCTGTGCAAAGAGCCCGGCGAGAGCGAGTGCCATCTGGCTGAAGTGTGGTGTGGCTCTGGTATGAGACCCGGGTGGTGCAGCTGTGTAGACGTGGCTGTGGGCGGCATGCGTGTTGTCTGCGGGGAAGCCGGGGACTCGCACGTGCATCAGGGTGTGACATTCTCTCTCTGGCTTCACTGTGACATAGGCAGCCTTTCTGCTCCTGTCCTTCTGTGCAGTACGGTGAAGACGCCGCACCCAGTACACAAGGTCAAGGACAGGCAGGTGGCCCAGCAGGGTGGGCTTCTGGGCCGGAGGCGGGAAATGCTTGAGGAACGTTTCCTCTGCGATGCGACTCGACTGAATTAGAAACGTGAGGCGTCCTGATTGCTTTGCCCTCTCCCGGTTTTTGTAGGTTTTTAGGGAAAGCTCTTCAGTGTTGAGTTACCATGGTGGCAAAAGGCAGTGGTGAAATCATAGGCATTATTTTAGGCTTTGAAATCAGTCCCTCACTCTAGCTCTTTGGAGCTCTAAAATGGGACAGCCTGGTCTTTTTCTGGCCCCTCAGGAGTTTGTAGACGTGTGAGTAATTTTCCATAATTTCTGCCTTATTCCTGTATGGCCTGGGTGACGTCCCACTGCTTCTTTCTCTCCCAGGGGGCCAGGGGTCCCAGCACCCGTTATACCAGGTTAATTGGGTCCACACCATTCGTAATACCTGCCTGTAGCCAAACTCCCTCCCTACCAGGCCTCTTGGTCATCTTCAGCCAGCTTTCTTACAATTGGGTGTCCTGGAAGGTCCTGTGCTCACTCCCTGAATTGCTTGCTTCTTTTCCCTTCACAAAGGAACTAGATTAGACCATTCACATAAAGAAACCCAAATGATCCTTTTCAAATGAAAATGTGATAGTCCAACTTTCCACTCCTCCGTGGCTTTCTTTTCTCCTGAGAAAAAATCTCAATTTCTGACCTTGGGTTGTGAAGTTTGTGTCACTGTCATTGGGCACCATTCTCCTTGGCCTGCAGCTTCCCTTCTGTTCCCGAGGAAACTAATCTCCTTCCCACCTTAGGGCCCTTGGTGCCAGCCTGTCCCACTGCCTGCGTCGCTTTCCAGGTGTTGTCGCCTGCAGTTCAGCCGGAGTGTTCTGTTCTCCCAGAGACTCTCCTGGAGCATCCTGCTACCGTGGCCATGAAGCCACCCTGATTTCATCCTCCAGGTTTTGTGTGTTTATTAGTTTCTTGCCACTTGACTCCCTGTAGCCCAAACACATGCGTTAGAACGTAGACTTCCTAAGAGGAGAGGCTTGCGTGTGTCGTGCGTCAGTGTTTTTGGCTCAGGGAGAGGGCCTGGTGTCCCGACGCTGCTCTGTCAGTGCTTCTTGAATGACTGAATGAATGCACTGCTGGCCGCTTCTGGCTGCCTCCTTGCATTCCACAGACCACCTTGCTGTGCGCTTTACTGAAATGATGGAGAGCGCCTGTTGGGATCGAGGAAGCAGTGTCCTTCTCTTGGGAAGGGCTCGGTGTCTCTTGGGAACTCTTGATTCCACCTGTTCTTTTTCCTCTCTGTGTCTTGCTCACTTGAGGCTGGTAACCCTTACTATGGGATGATGTTCAGAAGAGTTTCTTCTCACTCTTTTGGTAAAAAAAAAAAAAAGAAAGAAAAGAAAGAAAAAGAAATGACCACACCTGAATGTGGGTTTGTTTTTTTTTTTTTGTAAAAGAGGAAATAATGAGGACAGAATGGAAACCTCTCCCCCATGCCCATCCCCTGATCACTCAGTGTAACTGCTCAACGTAGCAGGGAACTTTTCATACTCTTGTCTCTGCATTTGTAATTATAGTAATATCGGAATAATTTTGTGTGTTGTTTCTTTTTCTGTTTTTTTTTTTTTTTTCCTGTAAATAGTGTCATACATGTCAATATCCTGCAACTTACTGTTTTACCTTGCACTCTAGTTTAGAGGTGTTTTTCAGACTAGTATGTATAAATCCATATCATGATTTTTACATTTTTAAAAAATTTTTTTGAGAGAGAGCGTACTCAGGAAGAGGGAGGGGAGGAGGGAGAGACACTCTTAGGCAGATTCCTAGCTAATGTGGAGCCTAATGTAGGCTTGATCTCATAACCCTGAGATCATGACCTGAGGTGAAACCAAGAGTTGGACCCTGAACCAACTGAGGCCCCCTACCCCCAGGCGCCCCTCTACTTTTGTTTATATAAATGCTGTGGTGAGAGTCCTTTCAGGAGCCTCTTGATCTGGGCAACTGTTTCTCTGGAGTACATACCACAAAGTGGAATTGCTTAAAGGTTCACACACTTGAAAATTTAACGTGGGGTGCTAGATTGCCTTCCATAGAGGCTGGCCACTCACACCCCTACCAGTTATTTCTGAAAGAATCTTCCATCAAAAATTGATAGGATAATATTTTAATTTTTGCTAAGCTGATAGCTGAGGTTGCCCATTCTTTCATTTGTTTATTGGCCATTAGGGTTTCCATATTTATTTACTTATTTATTTACATTTTAAGTTAGTTCCACACCCAGAGTGGGCCTGGAGCTCAAGTCTCATGCTCCCCTGCCTGAGCCCGCCCAGCACCCCTGGATTTCCATTTTTAAAATATTGTTTCTCCACAGTCTTTGCTCATGTTTCCGTTGGCATTTGCCTCTTGATTTGTAGGCATTCAAAAACAGAAACTTCTGGATCCCAGGCCTGTTTGTGTGATTTAAAAGGATCCTTTCCTTCCCGCAAGGCTGTAAACCTACTCTCCTGTTACGTAATCCTCTAAGTTTGAAATAGTTTTCCTTCCTCCCCCATTAACTTTTGTGAGTTGTGTGAGTTAGAGAGCGAATTCCTTGTTTTCCGAATGGGGAGTGAATTGTCTGAGGTGCTTTACCGAGTGGCGGTTTCTTTCTCACTGACGTGAAGCGTCCCTGAAGGCCACGTTAGATCTCATGCACAGTCCTGTTTCTGGAAGCCTCAGTCCGTTGCTTTTGTCTTGTTTATGAAAGAACCAAACGGTTCTGATGACTGTAGTTTAAGAGTACGTTAAGTGTCTTTAAGGCAAGTGCTTTCATTTCATTGTTGTGCTTTTTCAAAAAAATAAATGAGCCATTCTTCCATTTTTCCTTTTTCAGGTAGATTTGAGGATGGCCTTGAAAGGTTCAGTGGAAGGTCGTGTTAGGACTTGGATTGGTTGGAGTGAATTCATGATTCATGTGTGGGCTGTCTGCCTGATGCTGTGATTCAGAGCAATGCCTTGGGTCTCAGGTTCCTGTCTTTGTCACTTAGTGGCTTTGTAACTGAAACTCCCAGCCAGCCTTGCCTGTGACCCTGCGGCAGGGATGGCTGTGGGTGGAGCAGGTGGCGGGCACGGGGCACAGGCAGGACTGCGAGGTGTGTGTGTGCGTGCGCAGCCTGCTCTGCCTCCTTGGGGCTCCCAGAGCGCGCAGGGTTCCCTTCGGCGTTTTGAGGGAGTATGTGTGTATCTCACCAGTGTGCGTACACGAGCGTGCGTGTGTTTCGTCAGGAGGTGGGAGGTTACTCAGAAGCTCTGTTGGGGCGGTGTCTGCTGGGGGTGTTTCCTTTTGGGGGGTCACTGTTGGGATTTCTGTGGCTTAGCAGTGAGGAGGGCCACCTCTGTCACTTCCAGAACTGCAAGCAAAGTGTCACTTTGTTGAGGCTGAGTGGACCGGGCTCGGGGTGAGTCCACAAACCTGGTGGCTGTGACGGCGGGCAAGTGCACAGTGCTTTCTCAAGCTCTTTCAGCGTTCTTCTATTAAAACTTAGCGCTGGGGGTGCCTGGGTGGCTCAGTGGGTTAAGCCTCTGCCTTCGGCTCAGGTCATGATCTCAGGGTCCTGGGATTGAGCCCCGCATCGGGCTCTCTGCTCGGCGGGGAGCCTGCTTCCCCCCTCTCTCTGCCTACCTCTCTGCCTACTTGTGATCTCTCTCTCTCTGCCAAATAAATAAATTAAAAAATAAAAACAACAACAAAAAAAAACTTGGCGCTGGAGTAGCTCTGCTTTTTTTTTTTTTTTTTAAGATTTTCTATTTATTTGAGAGAGTAAGTGAAAGAGTGCTAGAGAGAGAGAGAGCACAAGCAGGGAGAGGCAGAGGCAGAGGGAGAAACAGACTCCCCGCTGAGCAAGGAGCCTGACGTGGGACTTGGTCCCAGGACCCTGAGATCATGACTGGAGCTGAAGGCAGATGCTTAAGTATCTCTGGTTTTAAGCAGTTGGGTCCTCGAACAGTAGGTTTGGTTTTTATATCCAGGTCCTCGAGGTTGGAGGGTATTTTGAGGGTAGCTTAAGATACATGATTTCTCCTGAAGTTTCTATCTATTAGAGTATTCTGTGTCCTTTTTGTCTCTAGAGAAGTTTGACAGCTGGCAATTTCACGGAAAGAGGGGCCAGAAAGATACACAGTTGGCCCTTGAACAATGTGGGGGTTCAGAGCACCGACCCTCTTGTGCAGTCGAAAATCTGCATGGAACTTTTGACCCCCCCCCCCCCCCGCCAAACTGCACTGCTTACGGCTTAGTGTTGCCTGAAAGCTCCGCTTACCACGTCAGCAGTCAGCATGAATACATATTTTGGATGTTATGTATTATATACTGTGTGTTCTTCAATCAGGTTTGCTAGAGAGAAGAAAGTGCTATTAAGAAGATCATGGGGCACTTGGGTGGCTCAGTCAGGCAGGCATCTGAGTCTTGGTTTCAGCTCAGGTTGTGAGATTGAGCCCCATCTTGGGGCTCAAGGAGTCTGCTTGAGATTTTCTCCCCTCTCCTTCTGCTCCTCCCCCCACCACACACGCATGTGTGCATGCGCTCGCTCTTTCTCAATTAAATCTTTAAAAAGAAAATCGTAAGGAACAGAAAATACATTTCAGGACTGAACTGTATTTATCAAAAACAATTCTCCTATAAGTGGACCTAGGTGGGTCATACCCATGTCATTCATGGGTCAACTCTGTTTTCAGTGCGGTAAAAGAGCCTTTTGTTTAGAAGTGGGTATGTCTGATTTCTTAAACATAGTTTATAGAATTATAGTTTAAAAATAGCCTAACAGTAGAATTAGCCTTTATCTTTAAAGATTAAAAAAAATAAAATCTTTAAAGATTTTATTTAGAGAGCACCTGTGCATGAGCAGGGGAAAGGACTAAAGGAAGAGCGAATCCCAAGCTGATGCTGTGCTGAGTGAGCCCTATGTGAAGCTTGAACTCATGACCCTGATGTCATGACCTGAGCCGAAATCCAAGGTCTCTGACACTCAGCCAACTGAGCCACCCAGGTGCCCCTAAGCTATTTATTTAGAAAGTTATTTCTAATTTCTTATTTAAATTTAGAGAACCCTAGAACGTTTGAGTTAGAAGGGACCTCAGAGGCCAATAGTTTACAGAGACTTCTGAAACCTTCCCCACCCCTCAGCTCATGGGTGAGCCTGTGGCCAGTCAGGAGCACTGAGATCACTCCTGCACTGGTAGCAGCCAGCCCAGATCCATTCCCTGTTCCAGTGCCCACAGCATCGACACCGACTGTGTGTGTGGAAAATCTGTGGTGCTTTATTTCTAAGAGCCTTTTAATGAGAAGAAAGCATCAAGGATGCTCAGTTTTCCCTACAGGCATAATTTGCATGAAGGAGGGGTAGTACATGCTCTTTTCTGTACCTGCAAGTCATGTGACTTCTGTTTGTTTCCTTTAGAACGTCCAGTTGCTGATAATGAGCGGATGTTTGATGTTCTACAGAGGTTTGGCAGTCAGAGGAATGAAGTTCGTTTCTTTCTCCGTCATGAATGGCCCCCCGGCAGGGACACAGGTAGGTAGCATTGTGTGAATCCGAGCAAAGCTGTGGACTTGGACTCCACATGTCCAAGGAACGGGGAGATCAGGAGCCAGGTGACGTGAGGGGTATGGGACAGGAAGGGACATGGAAGCCAGAGGTCAGACCCGCTTCCAAGACCTGACTGTTGTGGAGAAAAGGGTGTGGTTTCCTTTCATTTGTTTTCTTTGAAGAGGGGAGGAGCAGGTAGAAAAAAGTCCCCAGATCAGGAGGCTGAAGTTCAGGAGTCGGGGTACACCCTCAGTGGGGACGATGTCCTGGGTGTAGGAGGGAGCCGGTGTCCGCTGTTGTGGAGGGAGAGGGAGCCGGCGGGGGTGGTAGCAGGCACGTGCTTTGTGGGATCAGGTGGAGGGGCTTCTTGTCTGATGGTTTTCTCGGGGTTGGGAAGGTATAGAGGCCAGCGTGAACTGTTGTGGGGAATAGGTGAGCATCTGTGGGGGGCAGGGGCAGGCTGCTGGGGCCCAGGTGAGAACACAGACTCCGAGACCCGGGGCATTCCCTCCAGGCGTGCTTGGCAGTCTGGGCGGCTCTGAGAGGATGGTTGGATTGACCCAGGGTTGGGGTTTTGCTGGGTCAACTCAGAGGGTGGATGGGGAGAGGAGGCCATGGTCAGGACAACTTCAGCTGGTAGGAAGGGATGGAGGAGAGGGCTGCAGGGAGATGGGAGGCAGGGGAAGAGACTGCGGCCTTGGTCTTGGGCTCATGAACAGGTGTGGTGAGAGGAACTTAGGGTCAAAAAGGAGAACATCTGAATTTAAGATTCCAAAGGGAGAGAGCTTCTAGGTGATGAGGGCCCCATTTGGGCCATGAAATGAGCGGGAATTAGAGGCCAAGAGGTTAGCTTTGGGTGGAAGTCACGTGGGATGGAGGACTTGGGAGTCAGGTGCTCACACCTGTGGGAACCGAGGGTTCTCAGTGGAGTGTGGAGACAAGGTAAGGAGGGGGAGGGTGATGGGCGCTGTGCCAGTAGAGGAACAGTGGGCTGAAAGCTGCTGGACCCTGAGGGTGCAGCCATCCCAGGACCCTGGTGGCCTTGTTTCTAGTCAGATCTGTGCAGGATTACTAGGTGTTTCTAAAGATGGGAGAACTTTTAAAATGGGAAGTTGAGGATTTGTGACCTCAGTACATAATTCCTGGGAGCAGTTAAGTAGGTAGCAGATGTCAGTTCTCTTTGTTACTGCTTTAATAACCATGTCCTTTTGGTGTCTGGTGGTTAGAAATTAGTGACTGGCCTGTGGGGGCCGCTGTGGCGTGTGGACACCCGCGCTTTGCAGGTGAGGGGCTCTAGCACTTCGGCCCCCTGTCCGAGGCCATGTGCCATTCTGTGCGTTCACTTCCCATCAGCACACACATTTCCTTTGTAGTTTTTTTTTTTTTTAATATTTTATTTATTTATTTGACAGAGAGAGATCACAAGTAGGCAGAGAGGCAGGCAGAGAGAGAGGAAGGGAAGCAGGCTCCCTGCTGAGCAGAGAACCTGATGCGGGACTCGATCCCAGGACCCTGAGATCATGACCTGAGCCGAAGGCAGTGGCTTAACCCACTGAGCCACCCAGGCGCCCCTCCTTTGTAGTTTTACATGGGCATCGACAGCACATTTTTATTTTGTCCTTTGTTGACATTACTGCACACATCCTCGTGAAGGAAGCTGACTTGTACCCGTTGGCTGACTGTTGGCGGATCTTTTGTGTGTGTAGTGGCTAAATTATTCAGGAGCCTCAGCGGCGGGCTCAGTGTGTCTGTAAGGTGAGAAACACCATCCAGCAGTGCAGCTGTGTTCACAGCGTCCCACACACCAGCACCCCCCAGTGCTTGAGCAGGGACACAGCAGCGTCACTGCCCCACAGGGTGGGAACCCCTCTGCACATTCCTCTGGACTGTGGCTGGGGGCAGGGCTGCCACAGTCTCCGCTCCCGTGACCTGGGACCTGCTCACCTGGGACCTGTGCTGATCGTGGGTGTGAGCTCTTTCTCAAACTCCTGGGGCCCTGAATGTGTCCTGTCCTGAACGTGCTCCTGCTGGTTCAGTGCCCTATCTTTGAGGAAGCAAACAAAGAAAGCAGTAATTCCTAAATGGTAGATTTTTTTTCTTGCAGAAATGTTGTGACAGATTGTGTTGTCAGAGAATTTGAACAGTATTTTAAAAACAAAGCTAATGCATTCAAGTTAGGTGTACATGTCATACCTGGCTCTGAGGACAGACCTTTATCGGCATGGGATTCTGTGCTAAGTAGATACAGTAGATGTTTAATTCAAAGGAAATTTTTTAAATTTTAAAAAGATTTTATTTATTTGACAGAGGGAGACCACCAGTAGGCAGAGAGGCATGCAGAGAGAGAGGAAGGGAAGCAGGCTCCCCGCTGAGCAGAGAGCCCGATACGGGACTCAATTCCAGGACTCTGAGATCATGACCTGAGCGGAAGGCAGAGGCTTAACACACTGAGCCACCCCGGTGCCCCGATTCAGAGGAAATTTTAATCTGAAACTTTCTTGGGCGATCATGTGTTTGCTAATCTCTGGGAAGTACAGGTGTAAGTTTAATTCCACATACTTAAAAAATGTTTTGATGTTAATTTCTAACAACGTATCACTTTAAATTAAGACTATTTTCCTTTTATGATGCAGCGCATGGTACTGAGAGACCTGTATTTTGACTCAAAGAATTCTTTTTAGCCAAAAAACCCCACCAATATATAGTGTTTTCCAGTTAGTACTTTTCCAAACTAAGAAAAACGGACATTTTTCACTGTAAATGGAGACACACTTCATGGTACTCACGGATTACCATAAAATGCCCTCAGTAAACCAGTTAGTTATTTAGAACCCCTGTTGCTCTACCTTCAGTTACTTTTTTTTCTGGGTAAGTTCCAAGCATGGCTAATGGGCACAGGGATGGATTGATTTAACTTGCCCTTGTTCCTTCCAGTGGAAGCTCTTGGTTTCACGGCTGAGTAGCTAGGGTACTAGGAGGAGCAGTGAGGAGCGGATGAGGCACATGACCCACCGTCAGAAGTATGTTACCGTTGTTGGTTTTCCGTCTTCTGCTGCCAGGATTGTGCAGCTCTCCCGGGAGCAGTCAGCACACAGTGCTGTCTGCTGCTGAGTGTGCACCTTTCCAAGTAAGGTTTTCCAAAACAGGCACAACTATGAGACCTTCACTCTGTTGCTATGAGAAAATATTTTGTTTACCGTCTACTTTCTACTTAAAATATTCAGGAGCAATAATCACAGAGCTCAGAGATGAGCCAGTCCTTAACAGCATCTGCCAGCGCTTGTGGTGGGTAACGCATCATTTTTGAATTTTCTGCTTAGTGAGTGGACCACGGACTCAGGATCCAAGTTTAAAGAGAAATGGTGTGAAAGTCCCTGGTGAACATCGAAGGAAGGAGAACGGGGTAAGTGATGGTTTATGTGCTTGCTGGCTGCTCTGGTAACAGTTCCCTCTCGCTCATTGCTACTTCATAGCCACTTTGTCACTCACCACTTAGGAAGGACGGTTTTTGCTACTTTGTTGCTCAGGGGGTTATGAAGGATGGCTGCTTTTTAGTTTTTTTTTTTTTTTTTTGAAAGATTTATTTCTTTATTTGAGAGAGGGGAGGAGAGAGAGCATGCACAGTAGGGGTGGGAGCAGAGGGAGAGGGAGAAGCAGACTCCCCACTGAGCAGCATTCGATCCCAGGACCCTGAGATCATGACCTGAGCCAAAGGCAGGTGCTTCACTGACTGAGCCAGCCCACACCCCTGAGGTGCCCCAACAAGGCCTGCTTTTTAAAGGGTTGTTTCAAATGTATTTCCTAGGATTAGTTTTAATGCTCTCTGCAGGCTGACTGTTGAGAGCAGTTAGATGTTGGATATACTGCAAATTCAGAACAAGACAAAGGGTGAATGAGATTAAGGGAGGATTTTTTGTGCGTGTGATTTTGTTTTTTGCTGTAATCACTTTAGTAAAATGACAAAGTACATGTTAATGCCCTTGCTGTTGCATGTGAATTTTAGCAAGTATCTTTGGGGGGCACCTTACGGACGTTTTCTTTTTAGGGCTCAGAATTTTTAATACTGTAAGGAATTAGCTATGCCATCTTTCTCCAATCTAGGGTAAATTTATGGGAGAATGCGGGCCATTTGGTCCTGCCCTGTTTTCCTCCAAATTCTCGTTTCTCTTGTGAGATCATATAGTTCTCTTGCAGGGATGAAAAGCTCATATAAGGATGACCAAAAAATAGCCATTAATAGGGTTTGAATGCATCTCAACACAGGGTATCTTTCCCCCCTCACTGGGTTTTATGGAAGTATCATAAATGGCTCACAGTTTGAGTACTCGATGTGGTAAGTTTTCACATGCCTGTACCCATGTGAAACCGTCCCCATCAGCATGGTAGTGACACTATCTTTCATCCCCAGAGTTTCCTCGTGTCCTTTTGCAACCCTTCCCTTCTTGCCTCTCTCCCCATCCTCCAGGACCCCCTGGCGGGTCCACTTTCTTTCACTACAAGTTAGTTTTATTTTCTGGACTTGTACATAAATGGAGTCATGCTGTCTCAAGTCTTTATGTCTGAATTTGCTCAGCGTCATTATTTTGATCCATCTCGTGTGTATCAGTAGTTGGTTCCTTTTTATCGCTGAGAAGTCTTGCCTTGTCTGGATGTGGCTTGTTCATCCATTTCTCTCTTGATGGATATTGGGGTTGTTTCCAGCTTTGGGTTACTCTGTATTAAGTGGTAATGAATATTTGGGTGGATGTCTTCGTATGGGTATATTCTTTTACTTGTCTTGAGTAAATACTAGGAGTGGGAGGACAGAGTCACACGGCAGGTGTGTGTTCGCTTTTTAAGAAGCTGCCAAACTGTTTTCCAAAGTGATTTAGTTTATAGTCTCATCAGAGTTCCAGTTTTTCCACATCCTTGCCAACATTTGGTGTGGTCAGTCCTTTCAGTTTTGGCTAGTAGGCTTTAGTGTGTATTTCTCTAATACCTGATGACATTGGTGTCTTTCCGTGCACTGATTTGTCATTCGTATATCTTTTTTGGTGTGAAGTATTTGTTCAGCTCTTTTGTTCATATTTTTCTTTGTTGGTTTGTTTGCTTCCTTAGTATTGGGTTTGAGAATTCTTCCATAGTCTGGATCCAGGTCCTTTATTAGGTAATATGATTTGCATTATTTTCCCCAATCTGTGTCTTGTTCTAAATTTTGGTTAAGTATAATTGCTCAACTTAGAAATTTTGTGCTGTTACTCTACATTACATTTTATGATCCATTTTGGGTGGACATTTGTATGTTGTATGAGAATTAAAGTTTTGTCCATGGATAGGTGGATACTCAGTTGACTGAGCCATGTTTGTTGAAAGGACTGTTTGTCACTCCAGTGCCTTTGCACCTCTGTCAGAAGTCAGTTGCATGGTATACATGCGGGTCTGTGTTTGTGCTCTCTGCTTCTCTGTCTTGCCATCAGCACTACCCATGTTGGCCCCCAAAGCAAGCTAAGTCGTGCGGTCAGCTAGTGTGAGAAACCTGGTGGGACTGTGCCCCTCGGTATACTGCCATTCAGTATACCAGGGTTATGGGTTTCCAGGGCACAGGTCTTGGACATCTTCTGTTAAACTGATTCCTCAGTACTCTGTGGTTTGTATGCTACTATAAATGGTCTTTAAAATTTTTTTTATATTTCTGGTTGTTAATATAAGAAATACAGTGGATTTTTGCATAGCAATAATTTATCCTGCAATCTTGCTAAACAACTTCTTAGTTCAGGTAGCTCCTCTGTGGATTCCACACCATTTTCCTTATGGGCGACTGGATACAGCTGGATACAGCTCATGTTGTCTTCTTGCTCTGCTGCACACACTGGCTAGAATGCCTAGGACCACGTTGTATAGAGTAGACATCTCATTTATTCCTGATAACTCCGTATCTCCTGAATTTTCTGATGCTAGTGCAGTATTTGTAAAGGTCGTTCTAGGTTAGCTGCCAGGGCCCCAATAGCATGTTTAGTGTGATCCAACATTGTTTTTCTAATATAAATTCAGTCCAGAACAAGGTAATTCTAAATTGTTCCATTTCCATCACAGACTACTGAGACTGTTTAATTTTACATTCATAACTTAAAAGAGTGTTGGTTTGTATATTAGTGTGTCTTCCATCGAAACAAGTCATTGTGGGGATATTAATATAAAAATTAGTGATCTCTTTCATGTTATGGAAGAAAATGGCAAACTGTGTCCGGAGGGGCTCAGGGGAAGCTTCCACAGGCCTCTGAAGGAGGAGCTCAGGGCAAACTTCCACAGGCCACTGAGGGAGGGGTTCCAGGTGAAGCTGCCACAGGCCTCTAGAGGGAGGGGCTCAGGGGACGATTCCACAGGCCTCCAAGGGAAGAGTCTCTGTGCTGGTCTTGCAGCTGGCTTCTTTGTGTTCTCATGCGTAGGTTAACAGCCCCAGGATGGATCTGACTCTTGCTGAGCTCCAGGAAATGGCCTCTCGCCAGCAGCAGCAGATCGAGGCCCAGCAGCAAATGCTGGCTACAAAGGTAAAGGTCCTGTAAAGACTGGACAGGCCCCTCTGTGGATGCTGTTATGCCAGGGACCCCAAGATACAAGTTGATCCTGTCAGCCCACAGGTTACCTGCTTTGTGCCACTTTCTTCTCTTTACTACAGCATTTTGTAGAAATCCTTAGATCACCCAAGTTGTTTAAGATCTCCAGAACCCTAGGTCTGATCAAAATTAACCACATCATGTTGTGGATCAGGAAGACAGCAAAGGCATAAAGAACCCTTCGACTTTGCTAGAGGGAACTGCTCTGGGCTGATCCGTCCTGAATCATTACTGCAGCAAGAGGGACTTGTAAAGTCAACCAGTGCTAACCCTGTCCCCTTCTGCTGTGTGGCGCTGATAACAGGCTGCTTGCCTTTATTTGGGACATGCTGCCCCCACAGACTGATCCTCATCCTGGCCTCGAACAGGTGAAACAGGAGAAGCTTCTCTGTTATCATCCACACCAGTCTCCCTGTTGTTTCTCCTGCCAACCTGAACTCTCATCTGACCCAGATAGCACCACGCTTCCTCCATAAAGGCTGGTGGTCAATGCTGTGGGCTCTGCGGGCTTCTCAGCATTGTGGTCATGGCAGAAAAGCAGCCATGGACAAACTCGTGACTGGCTGTGTGACGGGGGAACATAGATGGCAGGCTGGCCTTCACTCGTCGCCTTCACTGAACACTCCATGTCTGCAGCTGGCCATGCCCACAGGGACTGTATGGTTGCCGGAGTGGGGTAGACCATTGGTGCAGGGTCCCTGGCAGCATGCCCTGTGACATGGGTAGCACTTACTGGGGTTCCTATGGGTCCGCTTCTATCTCTGACACCGGGCGCTGGTGTTTTCAAAATCAGGGATAGCGTGGCTTCTCAAACTTGAGCTTGCGAAGGGGTCCCCAGGGGGTCGTGTTGAAAACGCATATCTTGGTGCAGTGGGGATGGTTCGGGGTCTGGGAGTGTGTGTTTCCCACTAGGCTCCCATGTGGTGCTGAGGTACCATTTCTTGAATGTCAGGGACGTGAATTCAAATAAAAAGACCGAGTAATAGAATGCATCTTTGACCTCAGGGTCTTCTCTTGAAATTATTTTTGTGTTACATATATTTCAGAGATATTACTCTGAGAAGTTTTATTATAAATTGTGTGGCTCTTTTACTTTTTAAAAAGATTTTATTTATTTGAGAGAAAGAGAGCGTGCGCATGAAGGAGAGGGAGAAACAGACTCCTGGTGGAGCGGGGAGCCTGAGTCCAGGACCCTGAGATCATGACCTGAGCTGAAGGCAAACACCCCAGGCGTCCACTGTTATTCACGTTTAGTGAAATAACTAGTGTAGTATACTAGAAACAAAGTGTTACATTGTGGGTTTTGAAGCCAGGGTGGCTCTTAAGCTTTTTGCTAAGTGTGTGTGCTGAGTGTACATTAGCTGTGTGAGGTTCTGTGCAATGAGGTGCACACTCATATTTCATTTATTCCTCACCGTGGCCCAATGAGGCTCTTGATCACCCTGTTTTTGGCCGAAGAAGGAGACCCCTGTCATCGGTGAGGGTATGTGGTTTGCTGTCTCAAAGCCCATAAGTGGCAGAGCTTGGGTTGTAAGTCCGAACTGGACTCCAAGGCCACCTTTGTAGTGAGCGCCTCATGTTTCTCCGTGTGCTCCTCCCCAAGCATGAGCACCCCCTGTGGGATCACTGTTCCCCAGCTGTGCAAGAACCCCTGGGAGTAAGAATGCTCGTGCTTGGGTCTTTCCCCAAGAGAGTGTCGGGTTGGGCCTAGGAGCTGTGTCCTTCACTCCTGGCGGAGATGGATCCAGCAGCGAGCAGGATGGCTGGTCACCGCCGCCTCAGCCTCCGGCTACGCTCAGCTTCCTTTGGGGCTGATACACCTTTGAAAAGGATTTGCCTGATGATGGCTTCTACCTTTTAGGAACAGCGCTTGAAGTTTTTGAAGCAGCAAGATCAGCGTCAGCAGCAACAAGCTGCCGAGCAGGAGAAGCTCAAGAGGCTGAAGGAGATGGCTGAGAACCAGGAGGCGAAGCTAAAGAAGGTGCGCGCCCTGAAAGGCCACGTGGAGCAAAAGAGGCTGAGCAACGGCCGACTGGGTGAGTCGCTCCTGGAGGGGCCTGGCCAGTGCTTGTGGCTCCACGGGGACGGGGGAACAGGGACGTGGGTGTGGGGCGCTTACAGCCCTGCGTGAGTGACGGTAAGCCAAGGCTGTGTGTGTAGGCAGCTTTAAAATCAAGGCTTTTCAAAGCACAATTCCTTGCAGTTTTGATGCTTTTGGTTTGCGTGAATTGAATTTAGGTGTTGGGTGTTTCATTATTTTTTATTTTTATTTTTATTTTGGTGGGCAGCAAAGGAGAGTTTATTGAGTGATCTAGTACAAAGCTTCCACACAGGGAAGGGACCCAAGAGGGTTGCCCTTAGCTGCTGGGATTTTTAGACAAGCTTTTAAAAAATATACTAATGGAATTTTGTTTTTCTCTTTCTAAATACTTTTGACTGAAAATATGATGAAGGCAAGGATTTTTATTCATATAACAGGTGCCTCTATTACAATGCTATTTTAATTAAAATTTCCATGATGTAATACCTTTCTCTACCACTATAAAACAGATTAAAAGTTCTCAATAAATGTCATTGTTTCTAAAATTTGGAGCTTAATAATATTCATAACACAAATTCTGCTAGAGATCTATTCAGAGGGAGGCACGGACATTTAGAAATGTCTATGTTGATTTCAGTTGCTTGTAAAAGAAATAGGTTGGTTCGAGGACATTTCTGAAAAACGTCTGTACTTTTTGTTAGGAAGTTTGTTGTAAAGCCCGGTTGCCTGGGAGTGCGCCATTCTTACTTTTCTTTTCAACTGTTGTGGCTTTGCTCGTTCTCATTCTAGTGGAGGAGATTGAGCAAATGAATAGTCTGTTCCAGCAAAAGCAGAGGGAGCTCGTTCTGGCCGTGTCCAAAGTGGAGGAGCTGACCAGACAGTTGGAGATGCTCAAGAACGGCAGGATAGACGGACGTCACGACAGCCGGTCTGCCGCGGCTGAGCTCGACCGACTCTACAAGGAGCTGCAGGTGCGGCCCGCTCCAGGGACACAGTTGTCACAGAAGTGGCTTTAAGTGCGGGATTTCGGTTCTTTTCCTCAAACTGGGGGTGGGACGGGGTGGGGGGAACACCCAAACCTCAGAGAGTCTAGAATAAACTTAAGATCACCTGACACAGGAAATTGGAGGCATTCCTTACAACCGCAGTGGGTGGGCTGACAGTTTTAAACCGTAAGATGAAAGTGGGGAAAGGTGGAGGGACCTTACGTTTTTAGAAATTATGTAATAGTCAATCATGTGATTATCTGTTTGAGAAATTTTTCTTCTTACTCCTTGGCTACCCCCCCCCATTTTATTCAGTTACGAAACAAACTGAATCAGGAGCAGAATGCCAAGCTGCAGCAACAGCGTGAGTGTCTGAATAAGCGCAATTCAGAGGTGGCGGTCATGGACAAGCGTGTTAATGAGCTGCGGGACCGGCTGTGGAAGAAGAAGGCGGCCTTGCAGCAGAAGGAGAGCCTCCCGGTAAGTGGCCGATGCTGCCCCGTGGGTCACATGGGCAGCCGCCTCTGGAGCCGCGCCCGGGTGTCCCCCGGGCAGAGGGCCTTCTGCCGGGGACAGAGCGAGGGCCGCTCCTCCTGCCGCGGGGCTGGGGTGGGGCGGCTCCAGGACACTGTGGGGTGAGACCCCGGAAGCGCTGATTTTTTTACAGATTAGCGAGTGCCACAGCCTCTCTGAGTTGGATGCGATGGGACTCATCATGCTCCCGTGCCTCTCCCTAAGGTCTCATCGGATGGAAACCTGCCCCCGCAAGGGCTGCCGGCACCCAGTCGTGTGGCCGCAGTGGGGCCCTACATCCAGTCGTCCACGATGCCCCGCGTCCCCTCGAGGCCTGAACTTCTGGTGAAGCCAGCTCTGCCAGACGGCTCCTTGGCCATGCAGGCTCCCGAAGGGCCGCTTAAAGTACACACACTGCCCAACATGCGCTCTGGGCCCGCCTCCCAGGGTCAAGGTAAAACGGGTCACTTCCAGTCCCTCCCACAGCGTATTCTCCCTGTCCTGTCATTTACTCCTGGGGTTTTAAAAAAAAAGTCTTTCTATTCCTTATTCACGTTTAAGTCCTGAGAATCTTTGTGTGGTTTTTGCTAGCACTGTGATGCATTTCTTTCTTTTCTTTTTAAAAGATTTTATTTATTAGAAAGTGAGAGCTAGAGAGAGCACACACAGAGGAAGAGGGAGATTAATTGATGTAGGACTTGATCACAGGCCCTGGGGACCATGACCTGAGCCAAAGCAGATGCTTCACCAGCTGAACCACCCAGGCATCTCCATATGTTTTTTAACCCTAAATAATGCAATTCTGTTTGGGAATGAGATGAAATATAATATTTCGGCAATGAAGATTGTTTTGAATTCCTTCTTGTTAATGAGGACATTTTGATTTGATGTTTATAACTCGACCCCTTTTCCTTTTGTGTAAAAACACTGCATATGTGGTAGTGGTCTCATCATTATGGAAGGTGAGGTAGCGAGTATGTTCTGCTGATCGGTGGTGCTTACTGTGTGTATGTGCTCACACAGGAGCGTTTGCTTGCTAGCACTTTGTAGAATAAAGATAAACCTTCTGGAAGCTCACAGTGACAATAACAGAGGCACCTTGTGTTAGTGGTCTTTGCATCTGTGTAGTTCTCAGTGTGTGGGGAGGTGTGAGCCAGAGTAGTGTGACAAGAGTCCTAGATGAAGGGAGACTTGTAGGAAAGCGGGATGAAAACATCTCATTCAGACCCTGGGAGAAGAAATAGTGGCCAGTATTGTTTCTTTTCCCCAGCCACTGTCACGTGCAGAATATGACTAACGTTACAATTGCGATTATGTTGCCATAATTACCAGGGTGAGGTGATAGAGCCCCTGGTCTGGGTCTCCCTGCAGAAAGAACTGGCTCTGTTTTGCTGCTATTAGGACAGAGCTGTGGCCTTGATGCTTCCACATCTGTGTAGAGAAAACCTGCACAGAGCACACCAATCTGTGGAAGACTGGTCCATGTCCACAGTTTTGCCTTTTTGTTGTGTGTGCGTAACTGGTGTGTCAGATATGCCTTGGAACCCTTGGTCTGCGAAGTTGGAAGTTGTTCTGACTAGGACAGTGACAGTTTCGTACCAATGAGAAGCAGGGTGTCCTCACTGGTTCAGGCAGATTTTTTGTTGACTACAATTAATCTTAAATTTGTTTTAGTAAGTTTAAATTAGGAATCTGAATTCTCATATTTTCTAAATAAGTTTAAGGGATGGTTGGGAGTCTGAAATTTCAAGCTGTTTTCAGAGCAAAGGGAACCATTAGAGATCTGTTTGGAATGCTAGGTTACTGTGGTTGCTTTTCTGCATTGTAGGCTCTAAAATCCATCTGCTCGGCCCTGACTGGAGCTCCTCAAGTGCAGACATTTCCGCGAGCCAAGCCTCCGTGCCTGCGAGCTCAGGGGATGCCCCGGACCAAGGTGAGGTTCTGTTCTGACATCTGAGAGGCACTCCACGCTCTTTTGCTTCTTTTTTTAAAGATTTGTTGGAGACAGCGAGAGTATGAGTGAGAGGGGCAGAGGGGGAGAGTGAATTTCAGACAGACTCCATGCTGAGTCCATTGTGGGGCTCCACTGCACAGCTATAAGATCGTGACCTGAGCCAAAACCAAGGGTCAGACGCTCCACTGTCTGTGTCACCACAGTCTTCTTTAGTTTGTTTTCTGGTGTGTCAAACCTGGGGACAGTGTTCACTTCCGGAACACCTTCATTTAGCTATGGAGTTCAAGGTAGTGGCGTAGCACCTGGGCTGTTCTCCAGTTAACTCAATTAAAAATAGGGAAGCATGTCTTGGGGGTGTGGTTTCAAGGAGATTGAGGAGAGGGAAACTTACATGTGAAGAAGAGGTCTTAACTACAAATGGCTTGAATCTCCTTGTGATTTTTCCCATCTTTAGGTGATGATGGAGAGGTTCCCCTGAGGGAGAAGGAAAAGAAAGTGCGTCCCTTTTCGATGTTTGACACAGTGGATCAGTGTGCCGCCCCGCCCCCCTTTGGGGCTCTGAGGAAGAACCAGAGCAGCGAGGACATCCTGCGGGATGCTCAGGTGTGAAGAATGGCTCAGGTTAACATTCAGTGGTAATTCTGTATATGTTCTTTAGAAGAGAGGGACTATCGTGTTGAGGGAGAGCAAGAAAAAACAAAATATTTCTGGAAGATGAGAACACAGAATTCTGTCATTTTGAATTCTGTAGCTTTAAGCGTGTTTGTGGTAATTGGAGAAAGGCTGCCATCCTTGCTGCTGGCTCCCATTTTGTGTGATTCTCTGAAAAGTAGGAGCGTGCTGAAGCACATCATGTGTGCACTACTCAGCGACCCTCTGGCTTCAGAATCTGGAGCCGAGGTATTGTCAGTAACGATTTGGCGTGAATCTTGTGTGACTGTTACGATCCTAGCCTTTGACAACAACGGGTGATGGTGGTGTGCTCCCAGTTAGGTGTTTTCACCACAGTGGTGTGATGAGCGAGGAGGACTTTGGGTTATTGGGTCCATCTGTGAATATGTGGAGTGGGAGTCTCCGAGTCAGGGGTGATGATGAGGAGAGGAGTGCGGGCGGGAACCATAGCGCAGTCCTCTGGTTCCTTATTTTTTTTTTTTTTTAAGATTTTATTTATTTTATTTGACAGACAGAGATCACAAGTAGGCAGAGAGAGAGAGGAGGAAGCAGGCTCCCTGCTGAGCAGAGAGTCCGATGCACGGCTCGATCCCAGGACCCTGGGATCATGACCCGAGCCGAAGGCAGAGGCTTTAACCCACTGAGCCACCCAGGTGCCCCCTCTGGTTCCTTATTAAACGTAGTTCAGTGAAGAGACCTATGAGTTTTTAATTGACTTGAAAACATAGAGCTAGTATTCGTGAAATCCGGTTATCTAGCACATGCTGTATACCCATTTGGACAGTGTTTTAACTGCCTTGTGTGTGTGTGTTTCAGGCTGCAAGTAAAAATGTGGCTAAAGTGCCGCCTCCTGTTCCGTCAAAACCAAAACAGATTAACTTGCCTTATTTTGGGCAAACCACTCAGTCAGCGTCAGACATGAAGCCGGATGGAAACCCTCCACAGTTGTCAGCAGGTGTGGCGTCCATGGGAAGTAAACCAAAATCGGGGCAGCCACAGAGGGTCGTGGTATCCCCCGGCGCGCCCTCGGCCAGCCAGGGCCAGGCCTTGTCTGCAGCTGGGAAGCAAGAGAGTCCTCCAGCCGCGGCCGTCCGGCCCTTCACCCCGCAGCCTTCCAAGGACACCCCTCCCCCACCCTTGCGGAAGCCCCAGACCGTGGCCGCCAGCTCCATATACTCCATGTACACGCAGCGTCAGGCTCCCGGGAAGAACTTCCAGCAGGCAGTGCAGAGTGCGCTGACCAAGACCCATTCCAGAGGGCCGCCCTTCTCCACCGGTAAGCTCTGGTCCCGTTTGCACTGGAGCAGGGGGTGGCTCAGTCCCACCTGGAGTTGTCATCTGTCCGTGGTTGGCTGAGTTGACGCACGCTTGTGTCCTGAGGGCTTTGTGGGATGGCAGCTTGTCTTCTTGCCGGGGTGCTGACCTGGGTTTCCACTCCACGTCACGGAGGGATGAGTGGGTGCCGTAGCTGAAGAAACCCGTGGTGCAGACACAGCCTTCTGAGTCCCCGCTCACCGGGCCCACCACGTGAGTGAGGCCCGTGCAATGTCCTCCCTGTGGGGTCCACCCCAGGTGCTCCTGGGGTGGACGGAGGGATAGCTGCCCCGAGTCGCACTCCCCACTGTGTCTTACATTGCTCTCATGAGGACACAGCTGCTAGTGAGATACAGAAACATGGGAAGACAGACAGTCTGGTGATCTGGTGGGTTCTTTCTAAGGGTCATTTGTTTATAAAACTAAAATCGAGTTCACCCTGTTTTAATTGAATAATGGTGGCTTTCTGGTCACGAAATCACGTGATTGTGCCCTGAAATATACCTCAAGTAACCAGACAACAAAGAATTTATACATGTGCTGTGGCTGATTCGGCTTCATTGAGAACTGCTGATGCAGTAATTTGGAAATTGGATAGTTTTGGTAGAGTCAGAATCATAAGGGGAATGGTTTTATTAAATATAAGTGGTTCTTAATGTTGTCAGCCAAATACAATCCCCCCTCCTTGATTTACTTTTGAGACATATGAAAGAGAGGGTAGTTCGTGTTTAGTTTTAACCCAGACGCAGGAAAGGATTGCTTTTTTATGTTGTTTTCATATTTTGACATTTTAAGTTTGCTACAAGCAGTAGTTTCTTTCTTTCTTGTGTTTTTTTAAACATTTTATTTATTTGACAGACAAGTAGGCAGAGAGGCAGGCAGAGGGAGAGGGAGAAGCAGGCTCTCCACTGAGCAGGGAGACTGATGTGGGGCGTGATCCCAGGATCCTGAGATCGTGACCTGAGCAGAAGGCAGAGGCTTAACCCTCTAAGTCCCCTAGGCACCCCAGCCGGTGTTTTCTTACAGTTATAACGGCAGCATTTTTCTTCTCAGTACATGAAATAATGGCACATGTTCCCATCAGTGAGGGTTTTCATTCTGTGGTAAGTTTACTGTGCTAACATGGAAGCCTTGCGTGGTCTTTTGTTGTTTTTAAAAAATCACTTGTGTTGAAGGGTGCCGTGTAGTAACTGTGAAATTGAAGGCGGCTTTCAGTCTTGTGCCCTGTGTCTGTTACCTGCCGGTTTGATTTAATCCTCATCGGGGCTTTGTTTCTGCTTCCGATCAGTGTACGGCAAGCCTGTGATCGCGGCCACCCAGAACCAGCAGCTGCACCTGGAGAACGTGTACTCCAGCAGCCAGAGCCAGACTGGCAGTCCCGAGCCGGATGTGGAGCCTGTGGCCTCGGGCCAGGAGAGCCATGAGAATGAACGAATTCCTCGGCCGCTCAGCCCCACCAAACTGCTACCCTTCTTGTCCAACCCCTACCGAAACCAGAGCGACGCCGACCTGGAAGCCCTGCGCAAGAAGCTTTCCAACGCGCCGAGGCCGCTCAAGAAACGGAGCTCGATCACAGAGCCTGAAGGTCCTAATGGGCCGAACATCCAGAAGCTTCTGTACCAGAGGACCACCATCGCTGCCATGGAGACCATCTCTGTTCCCTCGTATCTGCCCACGCCGACGCCCGTGGTGGCCGATTCTGACAGCCCAGTTGAAACCCAGAATCCATATTTACACGTGGAGCCCGAGAAGGAGACAATCTCTCTCATTCCTGAACCAGTGTCCCCAGAGGACGTGGGAAGCGCCAGTTCCGAGAACAGTGACACGGCAGCTCTTTCCCCAGGCCTTGATTACGTGGCTGAAGGAGTCCCGGACAGCAGCCCCAGTTTCCAGAACAGTGCAGAAGAACCAAGTGCAGAGGCCCCCCATCCGCTGGAAGTGTACCTGGAGGAGTATCCCCCATACCCGCCCCCACCATACCCGTCTGGGGAGCCGGAAGGGCCGGGAGAAGACTCGGGCAGCATGCGTCCACCCGAAATCACGGGGCAGGTGTCTCTGCCTCCTGTAAGTAGCGTGCTGTCTCACAGTCCTTTCAGGAGACCCCCTTGTCACAGATGTCCAAGTGGTTGACTCTCAAAGACCCGGGGAAACACACAATTGCTCAGGGCCATTTGCAGAGGATGGTCTGCCTGTGAATTGCCCATGGTTGCCAATGGTTGCCTCTTATTTTACACCCCCTTTAGCGCTCAGGAGAGCTCAGAAGTATGAGGAAGATTTGGTGTATTCAGGGTAAAGAACATCTTTGTTTTTTAGGAAGAACCCTTCTCTTTGGGAAGAGGTAGAATTGGGTTCTTTACGATACAAACCCCACGCCTCTGTGGCAGTCCCTCTTGGGAGGCTGGCGAGGCTGGGAGGGAGGAGACCAGGCTCGGAAACTCCCTCCCTTGACCAGCTCTGTGAAATCAGGCAGATGGTGCCCCTTTCCTCCACAGTGACATCACTCTTTTACACTGTTCTTCCTCTCAGTGATGTGTATCTTTAAGGAACTGTTTCAGGGATCCTCAGACTTCCAACGTTGGTAAACTTGGGAGTGTGTGGGACAGATGGGGGTGGGATGAGCCTGTTCCTCTCCTCCCGGGTAGGGGACCCCTGGCGTGCCCCTGAGCCCCAGCTTCCCTTCCTCCCAGGCTGTGCGTGTGTTGACTTGGGCACATGGTGCACAAGCCTTCCAATTGTCATGCCTTTGTTTGCAAGTCTGTTGTGTCCCTTTGAAGTCTGCGAGAGATCAAAAATCCCAGGGTGCCCTTAAATAAAGTTGACTTTTCAGGTATAGCATTGCGCTGTTTCCGTAGGATGTGAAACCGTGAGTCTTAAAGATCGAAGCAAAATTGCATATTGTAGGGATTTTTTTTAAAGTGCTTTATGTTTTGATCCCTCATTGCGTCTTTGAGATGTAACGGTATTCAGAGATGATTATTGTCTTGATTTGCTCTAACTGCTGGTTACTGTGGATGTTTGCTTCCAAGTTTTATACAGCACATTGTGGATTCTAGGGGACAAGGTTTAAGTAGAGATTAGGCCTTGAAACAGCGCTGTGCCCTGTCTGTCCTGGTGCATGGCTCCCTGCAGCTGGCGTTAAACTTGTGGGAAGGAGAGACGACTTCACACCTCTTTTTGCTGTGTCCCCACCCCCCCACCCCTCTTTAGTCGTTAAGTCAAAATGATTCACGTACCCAGGGGCAGAGGAGACCGGAGGGTCACAGTGTCACCATCCGTTCCTATCGTCCTGGGGGAGTGATTTCCTTCTTGTCTGGCTTTGCGAGAGACCGAACTGCGTGTCAGGCTTATTTTGGGGTCCTGCCCATCCCACTCGTGGCTGCATCTCATGGTCATGTGACATCTACACTTCCCGTCTCCCAGAAACAGTGGCAGTTGAGTTGCAGCACGTTTGTGAAGTGGAGCGGTGGCCGCTTGGTGTTTTCTAAACCTCGGTTTTCTGCATCTGAAATAGAGTAAGGACCAGGCCGCATAGCACAGCGAGCCTCAGGAAACATTGCCACTTTGCTGGGCATGTGTAGGAAACTTATTGAATGGCTTGTTAAATCAGCCTTAACGCTTTTGCTCTATTGTTTTGCTGTATTGTATTCATAGTCAAAGGGCTTGACTGATTGGCTCGTGTATCTTGGAGTATAGTCAAATTTTGAATGTAAAGTAGGGATAGCATTTTAAGACTGGAAAGATTTCTTGTTAGTATATGTAAGACAGGCTGATAATACTTATTATTTCCTTGGTTATATGCTTTCCCCTGAGGAAGCATTTCGTTATAAGATGGTTGAAGGGAAGGGATTTGAAGCCAGAAGACTTGGATTTAAATCCCAGCTCTGGTGTTCCTGGCTGTGTGCCTTAACTTCCTTTATCTGTACGATGGGGTCACAGGGTTTTGGTGGGGAGCCCACCAGCAGCCATTCATTAACATTAGCCATGATAAGTCTGATTGTGCTGTCACCTGGTTTAATCGTGTGGGGTTTGCCAGCCTAACTCAGAGAGGGAACTTGAAGGCCAGTCTTGGCTGATTTTGTGCCCCACAGAAAGCCAGCCTGCTCTCATCGCCTGTTAGACCTTGCCGGCTTTGTTACACAGCTGTTATTCAGTAAGCTATGTATTGTGATTTATATACATTTCTAGATAATGTTTCATGTCCATAAAATGCGCTGATACGGGTTTTTAAATGTTCTTTTACTTCCTCAGCTGAGACATTCCTCCTCCCCTTCCCTAGGTCGGCTCTCGGAGACCGGGGTCCTTACTTCGTACCTCTCTCCCACAGGGCAAAAGGACAAACTTGCGTAAAACTGGTTCGGAAAGGATCGCTCATGGAATGAGGGTGAAGTTCAACCCCCTCGCTTTACTTCTAGATTCATCTTTGGAGGGAGAATTTGACCTTGTACAGAGAATTATTTATGAGGTATGATTGGATTTGTAGATTTCTTAAATACGTTATATTTTGTTTCTGACTTCTGCTTAAGAAGCTCCTCTAGAGGGGGGAGGGGCTGAGGTAGGGAGGGACGAGGTGGGAGGGATGCGGAGCACGCTTGAATTTTGTATTTTTTTTGTATTTCGTATTTTGTATTTTATTTTTATCTTGTATTTTGTATTTTGTATTTTATTTGTATTTCATGAGTTGAAGTGCAGTGTCCCCAGCACTCTCCAGAGTACTTTTCTGTCTGGGGAGATGGTTCCTCTCTGTTTATAGTTGCTCCAGGGTGGACGCGGACTTGTGCTGTTAAGTTGCACATGTGGTCCCTATTTTCAGAAGCCTACTATTTAAAATATTTTTAGTTGACCTTTTTTCCTTAACATGGGAAATGCACCTTCTCCTCAGACTCTAATTTGTGGTGGGAAGTCAGAGGGTAAATAAGCAAAAATGACTGAGGATATGGTTCCTGGCACCTGTTCCTTTTTTAGATCTTTTTACAGTGAGTGCCTACTTAATGTGGCTCTTCTGGCGGTCTTATTTCTAAACCTGAGGTTGGTGTAGTCGTCTTGGCTCCTGGAGGTTTTAATTATAACTTTAAAAAAAAAAAAAAAAGCAACCTGCAGAAGCCTATTTCTGTTCCCTTGATCCTGAAGAGCTAGGTGATAGTGACCTGAACGGTGACAGGAAGTCTGGGTGATAGCTCCCCTTCGTCTTGATGTTGCAGGTTGATGACCCGAGCCTGCCCAATGATGAGGGCATCACAGCTCTGCACAATGCTGTGTGTGCGGGCCACACGGAAATTGTGAAGTTCTTGGTGCAGTTTGGTGTGAATGTCAATGCCGCAGACAGTGATGGATGGTAAGTCTCCAGCGACTGCCACCCTGGCCGCGGGGTGACCCCAGCGCTGCTGGACGCTAGGAGCATCCACAGGTGTCCTTGTGTGACAGTCCTCTTGCTCCTGTTCTGGAAGCACGTGCAGTTTTTATGAAGTATTGTAGTTGAGTGATGAGAAGATGTCCCTGAGTGGCACAGATGTGGCCGACTTGTGTGAGTTTGAGAGATATTGGTCCCAGCCCAGTCCCCCGAGCCCAGTGATGCCCATCTTCTGTCTACGGATGTCCACTGTGCATCTGCAAGAGGGAAGCAGAGTTTGTAGCATTTCCCAAGTGTGTATGACTATGGAATCTTGTTTCACGGAGCGCTCTGTGGGATGGTCATGTGCATGGAACCCAGAGGGCATTGTTAGAGATGATGAGTATCCTTCGTAGGATCATGGGTTATTACTGCACACCAAAATAAGGGGTCCTGATAGGTGCTTTCACCTCTGATGACTGTAATAGAACAGAGAGCAGATTCTGTAATTCTTTTTTTTAAAGAAAGTATGAATTAGAATAAGCTTTTTCTTTGGAAGAATACAAAAAACTGTTTTTTATATACAGTTATTTAAACACCAGTCATTTTTTAATCTTTTCCCTTCAAATTTACATAAATATATATTTTGTAGCCTAATTTTTTGGTTTATGTTTATAACCTAAGCAAAACAAATTCTTTTTTTTTTTTTAAAGTAAGCTCTACACCCGGCGTGGGGCTTGAACTCATGACCCCAAGATCAAGAGATGCACGTTTCCCTGACAGAGCCAGTCGACACCCCCAAAACAAATTCTTAGTGTGTCATATGTTTTTGTTTCCCTGTTACTAGCAGTTTAAGTCATATATAATTTTTCACTACTAAAAAAGCATGCAGTTAAAAATTCTGCAGTAATATTCACCAGACTTTGACCTGCTGTGTTCTGGGATGCAGGGTGGGGGATCCGTGGTTTTGGAGACTGTGCACCTGAGAGGAACAGAATGAAGAGGGGCAGGAAGAGAAGGGTGGATGCGTGCAGACTGGACCCGGGTCGCATGCTGCTGTCTGCCTTTGAGCTAGGCGGCGGCACAGGCTTCTCCCCCCTTCCCTTGTCGGGGGTCTCCTGGAGCCCGTCGTGAATGTGTGAGAGGCTGGAGGGGCTCTCTGTAAGGGCGGCCGTAAGTTCCTGCCAGCCAGCGGCCTGTCAGACGGTATGTGTGTATTTCACAGTCGCTTTTCTCATCTACATTGAATAGACAAACCTCTACTCAATTAAAGCTCAATTTGGACTTCACAAGCTCTTAGGTGAAGGCAGTTCTCCGTGAGCAGCCCGATTCCCTCGTCAGTGGGAGTGGGAAGCGAGTATGGACAGGTGCCTGTGTCGGGGGAAAAGGCCTCTGGTGTGAAGCCGGCTGTGCCTCCAGCTGCCCGGGATGCAGGGGCGGGTGCTCTGGAGCATCTCGCCCTGGTTTAGACCGTCACTCGCATGTCTTGGCCTTGCACGCCTTCTTTGTGGTTCCTCTCGCCCTCTGCGCTGCCCCGCATAGCAGTGCCCAGTGTGGCCTGTCCTCAACCGTTCCTCCCTGTCCTCCTCTCGTGGGCTCAAATATCTGTGTTTAACTGATGTTTAGAAAACCGTGTAGGAGGTTTCCAGAAGGGCCCAGACGGTAGACTCTGAGCACTCGCACAGACGCCGGGCCTGCTGGTGTCGTGTGCCGGGGGAGACCCTGCAGCCTGCTGTGTGTCGCCCCACAGGACCCCGCTGCACTGCGCGGCCTCCTGCAACAATGTGCAGGTGTGTAAGTTCCTGGTGGAGTCCGGAGCCGCCGTGTTCGCCACGACCTACAGTGACCTGCAGACGGCGGCGGACAAGTGCGAGGAGATGGAGGAGGGCTACACCCAGTGCTCGCAGTTCCTTTACGGTTTGTAATGCACGTGTTCCCGCATGTTCATGACTGTGCTGATCTGTCCTATGTTTCTGGGGTACCGTTTGCCAAGTATGTTTATTATCAGGGAAAGCATTTTTATGTCATGCCTAGTCCTGGGCGCTGGAAACAGGGCGGCCTTGATGCCCGTGATGAATGCGGCTTTTGTGCGTGTGTCTCTGAGCTGCCCACACATCACACGGCCCCGACCCCATGCGGGCCAGACACTGGGCCCCCCGTGAGCAGAGACCCCTTCCACGACAGCCCCGAGGGACGGCAGGGGCCATGTGCGAGCCCGTGGAGCTGGGATTTCCCACGAGATCAGACTGATCGTGAAGTGAAAGAAGGGCGGCACCTGTTTCACAGCCGAGTTCTGGCTCTTCTGTCGTCGTGGTTTTGCGTTTCTGATTCCGAGGGAGAACATTATCTCTGACCCTCGAGAACAAGACAGGCCTCTCTCAGGTGGCGTTTCTGTTCACGACTCTTAAGAGCTGAGGTTCACTCTTCTCAGCTGGGCTGGAGTGGAAGTGAGGAGAGGCGGTAAGCAGTGCTGGGGGTCTGTGCCGTACACGCTCCGGGAAGCTGCTCCGCCTGTCACTGGAAGGGCCACAGGGCTGGTGAGCCTGTCCCTCTGTGAGGCTGCGTCCCCGGCTCACGGGCTGCTCTCAGGCTCAGGAGGGGAGGTGGGGTGGCCTCGCAGCTCTTCCTGTCAGTTGTGGGCACAGAGGGTGACCTTGTATTCCTGTTCCCATCTTTGGATCAAGAATGATTTTGATAGACTGAGATTTTACTATTAAGATATTAATATATACTTGGTTATATGAAATGCAGTGGCCATCTTGAGCTTTACTTAATTAGAGAATCTGATCTTAAGTTTTTGAATTTTTTAATTTTTAAAAAGATTTTATTTATTTATTTGATAGAGACAGTCAGAGAGGGAACATAAGCAGGGGGAGTGGGAGAGGGAAAAGCAGGCTTCCCGCTGAGTAGGGAGCCTGATGGGGGGCTCCATCCCAGGACCCTGGGATCATGATCTGAGCCAAAGGCAGACGCTTAATGACTGAGCTACCCAGGTGCCCTGGAATCTGATCTTTAAAGACACGTAGGGACTTGTGATCAGAGGCTTTACTTTATGGAACATACCATGAACACCATGAAAGCGTGGTTTGTTTGTTTTTTTTTAAGATTTTATTTATTTATTTGACAGAGATCACAAGTAGGCAGAGAGGCAGGCAGAGGGGAGGAAGCAGGCTCCCTGCTGAGCAGAGAACCCGATGTGGGGCTCGATCCCAGGACCCTGGGATCATGACCTGAGCCGAGGGCAGAGGCTTTAACCCACTGAGCCACCCAGGTGCCCCTGAAAGCATGTTTTTGCCTTAGATGTTGAAATGACCATGGCCTGGTTTCTCCTGGTTGGGCCTGGGCGCCCTGCCCTCTCATAGCCCCTCACACCTATGGCAGCTGCGACCTTGACCTTGACTGTTTTGTTCCTCATGTTTATCATTCCTTGCTTTTTAAAAATCCCTCTGTCACCCGTGAATGAATCCTGTAATTCGGGCTGGCGGGTTGTGCCTGGGTTTCCCCTTTCTGTGAACTAAGTCACGCTGTGATTCTCTGGCTTGCCTTTCCGTTCACGGTTGTTCTGGAGTCTCCTCTGTGTGGTGGCCCTGGTTCCTGCTGTCTGTCCTTATGGCTGCGTCTCCACATCTGTCCTTCCTCTTTACCTTGGAGCATTGGGGTGCACATTCATTCGTAGTCACAAACGGTCCACGTGGAGTGCACTTGCCAGTCCCAGGGACGCATGCCTAGTACCTTTCCCGCCGTGTCCCCTTCTTAGTTCGGTGAATAGCAGAGTAAGGAGAAATTTTCTCCCATTCTTAGTGATTTCTTGGATGTGAGACTGAAGTTGTTATTTTTTTTACTAGACTATGATTTTTTAATTCTAATCAAATATCTTTTAATTAGTATTTTGCAGTCATTCAGATTTTCCCAGGATGATCTCACTGACACTTTGGAGAGCTGTCATTTGAGCAAACCACAGTGCCCTGGATTTCTTTCCCGCCCCGTCCTACTCCCACTCCAACCTGGTGGAGGCCAGGTTTGCTCAGGGTGTCACCCTTGTGAATCTCATGGTCCCGTCTCATTGAAACAGGAAAGTTGGGAGCATAACCATCCCCATCAGTAGGAACCTGACCCTTAGTCGGTGGAGCCTCTGCTGAAGTGCAGCTCCTTGTCCCGTGTCAGTTTGCCCAGAGCCATGGTGAGGTACCCAGCGCTCTGTCGTCTTAACTGATAGACGATTAAGCTCCATGTCCATGGAAGCTGAAAAATCTGATTGTGTGAGGGCAAGCAGACACTTCCCTGCCTTCTTTAAACCTATAAAGGTGAAACCAGTAACGAGCTCTGCAGTGCTCGGGCTTCCTGACCTGACCTGACTGACTTGCCTTGCTTGCTGTGCCCCGTGCTCACCCCATACCTGCCCTGTGCCCGGCCTGTGCCATCCTGTGCCCTCCCCGTGTCTGCCCTGTGCCTGCCCTGCTCCCGCCCGGTGCCTATCCTGTTATTACAATGAAAGTGGACATTTGTGAGTTTCCCTATCCTCATGACTTTATACTTGACTCTCTGTAGACTTTTTGTGTCTGAAATATTTGTGCATTCTTTGTGTCTTACAGTTTTCTTCCTCTCCCTTTCCCCACTTGGAAATGGGCAGGGACTGCTCAGTAGACACTGTCATTGTGAGCTGTGGTCACGGCTGCTCTAGGTTCCAGGTCAAGCATGAGGTAGTTTCTCCAGGGCTCCTCGTCCCCATGCTCAGCCGCGCTGGAGTTCGGCGGGCAGAGCGCACGCTCCTCTAACAGCCTAGACGCCAGCAGTTCATTATGTTTCTGGGCCTGCAGGGCTTTCTGTACTCCGAGTAAGACTAGTTTCTGAGCTGCCTTAGAGAAGATCGCGGAGGCTAATGTGTCTGGTGGGCGTCCCCCCCCGCCCCCAGGGCTTTTGTCCATGGGGGGGCTTTGTGCGGTATTTCCGGCGTTCGGCATTTGCCCGGCTCTCCTCATGTGGCTTCATGGAGCCGAGGGTTTGAAGAGCAGGTGGTCCGAGTCATGCGTCCTGTGCGGTTTCTTCCTGTCATTTCAGGAGTTCAGGAGAAAATGGGCATCATGAACAAAGGAGTCCTTTATGCACTGTGGGATTATGAGCCTCAGAACGGTGACGAGCTGCCCCTGCGAGACGGGGACTGCATGACCGTCATCCGCCGGGAGGACGAGGAGGAGACGGAGTGGTGGTGGGCACGTCTGCACGACAAGGAGGGCTACGTTCCGCGCAACCTGCTGGGGGTGAGCGAGCCATGCGGACGGGTTGCTGTGCAGGCTGGGTGTGCAGGGGGCCCGAGTGTGCGTGGGCCCTAGTGGTGTGTGGGGCCCAGGTATGCGGGGGCTGCACTGTGTCAGGGGCTCTGTGCGGCTGAATGCCCTTTGCTCGCACCACATGGAATTTTAGAGTTTGGACAGTGTGAGGTTTACACTTGGCGGGTGTCCCACGTCCATGCCTGCTAGCCCTTGAGGGCGGGGGTCCTGCTGCTTCCCAGCAGCATGTGGGACATGGGTAACGTTGGCTACAAATGCCGTGTCTGCCCTCGCCAGCATCCACGGAGCTGGCAGACAGAGCCTTCTCTCCTGTTCAGTGTTAAAGCTAGAAACAAACTGTACAGTCGTGTGAGCGCGTGCAAGCTTTCCGCCCTGCTGTGTCAGGATAGAGGCGTGGCTACCCTCACCAGGGGGCTCTGGGCAGCATTTGCAGGGAGGCGGCAAGGAGGGTGGGCCGAGGACAGGGAGTGGGAGTAATGTCCTGTGTGCACAGGGGCTGGGGGTGGCAGAGTGGGAGGGGTGATGGAGAGGCTGAGAGGAGAGTCCAAACCAGAAGAGCCTGGCAGGGGTGGGTGGGGGAGAGTCAGCAGCATGGCTCCCCCCTCCACCCCTGCTTCACCCCTACACGCTCACTGTTGGGCAGTAGGGGTGTGGCACACGGGCACAGAGAACGCTGCCTCTAGAGACTGCTTGGGTGTCTGAAGGACAGCGGGGGGATGTTTTCGTCCTCGTGTGGACCTGCTCTGGTGTTGAGGCTGCGAACCTGGGCTCTGTGTGCAAACGCACTGCGGTGGTGGCGTGACCTGCGTGGCGTGACCGTGGCATCGGGACCTGTCATCTGCTGATCCTCCTTGCCCGTTCCTGTGTGTCCTCTGCCCTCTGGTCCATGGTTCCTTGTTAAGTCAGCCTTTGGGGCTTAGACGGTGTCCGCTGGTGGGACCATAATGAAAATTATGAAGCACAGACGAGAGCTAAGGAACCCTGAGCCATGAGCCCCTGAAGCTTCCCCACCCCAGAGAAGCAGCTTGGCCTGCAGCCATATCCCCCTGAACACCAGCAGCACTTGTCACCGTTTCTTCCCTGGGAAAACCTCTGCAAACTGCCTGCGGGTCTGAGTCCTTCATTTTACTCTAACAGAGCAGTCTGCGCCTCAGGAACTGGGAATCCTCACTTGTCCCGCAGGGGGTGCCCTCAGGAAGCTCTGACCTCTGCAGACCAGACCCAAGATTCTCATGTTAATGTGACATTGAAATATTCTTAGCCTTTTGGAAATCTCTTTGGGGTAGAAGTGGCCTCTAAGTAACTTTTTTTGGTTTCGTTGGAGACTGAAAAAATGGAAATTGCATAAACAAGTTTTTAATCAGAGGCTCAGATGGGAGTCTGGAAGATTGTATTGACTAACGATCTTTTCTCAGGAAAATGGTCTTTTGTATAGTGTTGATCTGCCAGTTAGTTTTTCAGTTTTGGCTGGAAGTCCGACTCTCCTTTCTTAGAGGGAACCTTGTTCCTTTTGTCTGGGTGGGAGGAGGGGGAGGGGGGCTCTGTGTAATTTGCCAGTTGAATTGCTAGTTTGACTTGTTCTTGGCTTGCAGACTGCAGATCTTTGAACTTCACAGGCTCCTCTCTTGCTCCTACTGTGGAAAACACAACGCCACAGAAATCCACCAACAAAAAACTCCACTTACCCTTCCTTAAATCGGTAGTCTCTCAGTCTTAGGTCCCATGAGAGTGTTTGTCAGGCCGTTGTGAGTGAAGCTGACGGACCCTGATCTCTCCTGTCCCGCTTGCACGTGGCGCGTCACAGACGAGCTCCAGCCATCACAGGCCGAGCCTGGGGGCCGGGGCTTAGCGCCATCGCCCCCCATTACGCTCCTGTGTGTCTGTCTCTACAACATGTAGAGCATGTCTCTGTTCTCTTGCAGCTGTACCCAAGAATTAAACCAAGACAGAGGAGCTTGGCCTGAAACTTCACAGATTTTAGTTTCTGAAGAATTAATCTTTGTTATCACTAAGAAAACGTAAAGTGATTGTTTTTGGCAAAAATTTCACAAGACTGACTTTAATGACAAAGTAACTTGAAAGAAATGTAGAATGTCCTCTGGAAGAAAATGAAGGATTGGAGAATTTGCTGTCTGTAGGGGACGTTCAGCACGACGGATTGCAGCTTAAAAGTAAGCTGACCACACTGTTGGGGAGCGGCATTCATGGAGCACTTGGGAAGATGAACAGTGACTATCCTGGTTTCCTTGAGAAATAGGGCCTTGTTTGGGCTCCTGGGAGGTCGGCTTCCTTTCCCACCTGGTTGGTGTTTGTCTGTACCTCCCCTGCCCCCACCAGAATGGACCAGTGCCATCGAGGCTCCTCTGCCTCTCCCACCGATAGACCCCCAGGGGACTCCCGTTTCCTCACATGGATGTTGATGGTGGAGGACTAACCGTTGGTTGGGTGTCCACAATCCCTGTTTGATAGGAGTTCTTCAGGACTACACATATGTTTGCAATCCTGGATCCAAGCTGTGCCACAGCTAATTAGATTTAGAACCTTGTTTTTAGGATGAATTTGAATCTATATTTATTGTCTTTTGTATCTTGGAAATTGGAAACGTGGCTGTATAGACTTACCCATGATATTTGTCAAGATCATAGCTGACTTTAAAAACAATTATAATAAAATTAAACTTTTTGACTCTAAAGCTATTTACTAGCCTTACTTTTTTGTGTCATTAAAAGCCTTGTTTAAAGTTCACAAGCTGTTGGGCAGCTCACCCAGTGGGAAAATAGTATTTCTTTACCAGCGTTCCATGTGATTACATGGAAGAAGTGTTGTTTTGCTTACAGAGAACTTGGTTTTGCAGTTGGTCAGTTCTGCATTGGGTTTCGATAGAGAACCCTGGGCACAGAGGGTCTCACCGTCCCTCAGCCTCTTTGAGATGGTCTTGTCCTCATCTGCACTGTCTACACTCATTCATGGGTTGAAAATGTACATAGGGTCTCTACATTGGTTTTTAGTATGTTACCGAGTTTATGAATGGCTTTGGAACCCATGCTGCTTAGTGGAACTCTTCAGTTAATAGAAACCACAAATGAGAAAACAAGTACTCACTTTTTATTGTACGTTTTTCTGAGCACCTAAATTCTAGCAAGAAAGGTGAGTGAAAGAACATCCCACACTCATCAGGGTAATGGAGAAACAGTATAGACACCTTGAGCTAGCAGTCAGAAGATGGGTGTGGTGGACAGAATTCTGAGGACGCCCCCTATCTTCCTCCTCTGGGGTGACAGTGTTTGGAGGTAGGGCCTCCGGGAGCCAAGGAGGCACGCACAATACCACCAGGTACAGACCCCACACACCCCATGAAGGGTGTTTGTGCTTGAAAGGAGGAAGAGGCCGCAGCCCTCCCCTCTGCCATGTGCGGACACTGCAAGAAGGTGGCCATCTGCATTCTGGGAAGGGTCCTCGCCAGATGGCAAGTCGATTGCATCCTGATCTTGGACCCACAGCCTCCAGAACTGAGAGGTAGATGTCTGTTGTGTGAGCCTCTAGGCTGTGGGGTTTTGTTCTGGAGCAGAGCAGACTAGGGGTCCTGGTTACTGGCCAGATGCTGATCTAGGTGCTTCTGTGAGGGACTTTTCCAATCAGCAGACGTGGGGACAGGGATGTCACCCTGGGCTGCTGGGTGGGTGCAGGAGAGGTGTGAGGGACTCAGCCCACCACTGGTGGCCACAAGGAGGAAGGGGTCATGTGCTAGGGAATGCTGCCCACAGCTAGGAAGCCCCTCCTGGGGTCTCTGCGGGGACCGGCCAGTCCCATGGGGCGGGCTGGGACTCCTGCTACAGGACCGTGAGGTGATGGGTGTTCTGTGTTTTGCTTTAAGATTAAAATTTTTAAGTAATCTCTTTTCCCAGTGTGGGGCTCGAACTTGCCACCCCGAGATCAACAGTCACACGCTCCTTCCACTGAGCCCTCCAGGTGCTGGAGGATGGGCGTTTAAGCTGCTAAGCGAGAGGCAGCAAGTACAACAGGGCCTCTGGGCCTGGTCTGGCACTTCCTGTCCGTGCGGCCTTGCCCGGGGCGCACAGTTCAGCATCACTTCTGCACACCTTGGCACGTGGAGGGACCCACGCAGGTACTGTACACAGAGGTGCTGAGAAATTGTAAAGAATCGCTCAGGTGTATGGAAGGGAAGACGTGAAAATTAGGAGAGCATGATCATCTGTTTCCTTCGTCCTAAACTAAGAAACTTCGTTTTTATTTTCCTTTTGTTTTTCCCTTATCGTCAGCTTGAGTATCCTTGTATCAGAGGTCCTCGTGGAAATATCCCCAAGGATATTTGGGGGTAGCTGAGGGCACTAGCAGGACTGCCGGTTACTGTGTCCAGTCAGGGTTTCTAGTCAGCCTGTGCGGTCAGCATGTGTGGCCAATGTTTCTGGTCACCATGTCTGTTCGGAGTTTCTGGTCAGTGTTAATGGTCATTGCGTCCGGTCAGCGTGTCCGGTCAGGGTTTCCTGTCAGTGCATCTGGTTACCGTGTCCGGTCAGCATATCTGGTCACTGTGTCTGGTCAGTACATCAGTCACTGCATCGGGTCAGGGTTTCCTGTCAGTGCGTTTGGTCACCATGTCCAGTCAGCATATCCGGTCACCACGTCCAGTCAGCACATCTGGTCACCGCGTCTGTTTGGGGTTTCCGGTTACTGTGTCCGGCCAGTGTTAATGGTCACTGCGTCCAGTCAAGGTTTCCCATCAGTGCATCTGGTCTCTGCATCCAGTCAGCATATCCGGTCACTATGTCTGATCACTGTGTCCGGTCAGCGCATCTGGTCACTGCGTCATGTCTGATCACGGTCTCCGGTCAACACATCCAGTCACCTTGTCCAGTCAGGGTTTCCGGTCAAGGTTTCCCATCAGTGCATCTGGTCTCCGCGTCCAGTCAGCACATCCGGTCACCGCATCCACTGTGTCTGATCACTGTGTCCGGCAGCATATCTGGTCACCATGTCCAGTCAAGATTTCCCATCAATGCATCTGGTCTCCGCGTCCGGTCAGCACATCCGGTCGCCACGTCCACTGTGTCTGATCACTGTGTCCGGTCAGCACATCCGGTCACCACGTCCGGTCAGGGTTTCCGGTCAAGGTTTCCCATCAGTGCATCCGGTCTCTGCGTCTGGTCAGCACATCCGGTCACTGCGTCGAGTCACTGTGTCTGAACGCTGTGTCCTGTCAGCACATCTGGTCACCGCGTCCAGTCACTGTGTCTGATCACTGTGTCAGCATATCCGGTCATGCTCCGGGTTTCTGTGCAGGGGTTGAGCGCATGTGGCTTCAGCAGCTGTGGCCTCGTGCCTGTGACGTTCATTAGCACGATTTCCGATGGCTGTGCGATTCCCCATCACGTGAGAGATCTAGGTCTGACCCAGGCACATGCTGGTCCCCAATTTCTAGAGTGACGCCCCTGAGCCATCTTCATGGTGGCAGTTTTTAGATTTCTGAGGGGAGAGTAGGGCAGCTGGAGGGTGGGCCCTGCTGAAGAGGGGCTTCTAGTGGGGATGGGGGCACATGGAGGACAGGGCAGAGGGCAGAGCTCATGGTGTCAAAGGCACAGAAAATTGGGAAGATGCCACTGGTTCTCCTTCATAGGTCTGGGCACTGGGAGGTAGGTGGTGGTCTCAGGAAGCAACAGGGCCCAGGTGGTTGTGGGAGGGGAGGAGATGGGAGAGGAAGAGAGAGGAGAGAGAGGAGGAGGAGAAAGGAGTGGGAGAGAGAAGGGAGAGGAGAGAGGAGGGAGGTGGAGAGAAAGAAAAAAAGAGGAGGGAAGGAGATAGGAAGAGAGGAGGGAGGGGAGAATGGAGGGGGAGAGGAGAGAGAGAAGGGAAGAGACGGGAGAGGAGGGAGAGGGGCTGCTGGGCTTGGCTGGGAGGAGGGCGTGTCCCATGTTGGGAAGAAGGTGCCCCTCTCAGGGTGCTGGGATACTGCGTGCAGGAGAGCTACAGAGGCCATGTGTCCAGCCCAGAGACTTGGAGGCCTGGGACTGGGGCCACTTCTGGCAGGGTCAAAAGATGTAGGGTGTTGATGCACTGGCTAACTTCTCCCTGTGAGTAGGCGTTGGCGAGGGCTGCAATGTGTGGGAGAACCCCAGAAACTTGGTTAATTCTCCCCTCTTCATCCTACCATGCATAGACCTTCCCTGTGTGCTGGGACTGGACAGTGCCAAGTGAGTGGGTGAGCTGGGGCAGCTGGGCAGGCGCAGAGGGCCAGAGTCCCCAGCACAGACATGGTTTTGCCTGGGCCTCTCCCCACGTGCCTGGGCCTCAGAGGCCTCCATCCAGCTCCCTGGCCTGTGCTGCTGAGTGGAGGACACTCGCCAACCCTCCCTGCCTCCCCTCAGCCCGCACGTAGGGCCTGGGCACCTCCTTGCCAAGTCTGGGAGATGCCCCTCCCAATTCCATCGCATCCCACTCCTCTGGCTTCCCCCCGGGACTTCCGTGCCTGTTCTGCCAGCCCCCGTCACATCCCAAAGCCCGAAGGCCGGCCTGGGCCTCCTCAGGGGAGACCAGAAGCAGGTTAGAGTCCCACCTACTTGGAGACCACTTATGAGCTTCTGGATTGTACAGTCGCGCAGGAAAAGTTGTGCCCGTTCCTGTCACGAGGGGAGTTCAGATGTAGCAGGCCAGGACCAGTGTGGGCACAAAGCCCTGGCAGGCCCTCCAGAAAGGACAGCACTGTGCGGGATGGTCTGGGCCACTCTTTATTAAACAGCAGGTGTGGGAGAAGGTAAGGCAACAAGGCGATACTTGCACAAAGCTCCTAGCGTTGTCCCGGGGTGGAGTCGGGGGTCCAGCTCCCATGCCACTTCCCTCCTGGCTCCACGCGCAAGCAGGGCAGGGGTGATATCCAGGTAACAGAACCGCTGGTTCTGTCCTTGACCGTGACCCTGGGCCCTGCGCTGGTGCATGCTTCAGGTAGCTGAGCCAGAGCTGATCCCCTCAGCACCTGGGACACCCCCCATGTGACACCAGACTGCTCAGGGTTTGGGCTCAGACACACAGGTCACCGGTCGAGTTGACGTAAGGCTGGTCTCTGGAGTGACCCACAAGACACAGGGGTGCCTTCTGGGTCGCTCCGCGATGCCTCCTGGTTTCCCTTTTACTCTGGGGGCACGGACTGCTGCATTTTTAAACCTGAAGTTGCTCAGTATTCCCAGCAGGAACCTTCTGTTCTCAGAGACAGATTCCACGTGCGGTCAGCTGTTAAAACACCTCCCTGCGCCCTCTCCTTGGTCAGCTGTTGCTGCAGACAGGAGTGTGTACAGTACGCAGATTCCAGGGTTTCTTTCAGCTTACCCAGGGTTAAGTGACTCGCTGGCATTTAAAATCATGATATGCAAATCTTCGACTT